GCCCTGGAACCTTCAGCCACAAAGACTCCACCTGCTCTCCCCTAGGAGCCCCCTCCGACTCCTGTCCTGGAGCCCAAGACAGTGGTGGATTCATCGCCCGCTACTAGGATGGAGTGCAGCCCAGACATTGGAGCCTCTCCCACCATGGCCTGGTGGGATCAGCCCAGTCCTGTCTTCAAAGTTCAGCCTGCCGCTGTCAAGGCCCAGCCTGCGGCCATAAGGACAAGGCCCTGTCAGCCCCTGCCAGTCCAAGACCTGGGATCCCTGCTGGCCCCATCTGCTAGCACCCTGCTACCGCCAGCCTCGAGGACCCTGATACCCCCAGATCTTCCAGAACTTTCCTCAGGGGACCCTCCAGTCCTCTCCATGGGGGACCTATCAGACATCGCCCTGGGTGAACCACCAGAAGTCACCCCCAATGTCCCCCTTGACCTAGACGCCCAGTTCCCTGCTATCCCGGTAGGGTCAGAGTTCCTTGCCACCACGGTAGGGTCAGAGTTCCTTTCCACCACAGTAGGGTCAGAGTTCCCTTCCTCCCTCGTAGGATCAGTGTTCCCTTCCTTCTCGGCAGGGTCGGGGTACCCTTCCTTCCTGTTAGGTTCAGAGTTCCCCTCCTTTCCTGGTAGGGTCAGGTTTAGAGTTCCCTGCCTCCCTCGTGGAGGAGGGAATGTTTCCTGTCTCTCAAGTAAGTATTGAGTTCCCTGACTTCCTGGTAGGTCCAGTCTATCCTGCCTCCTTGGTAAGTCCTCAGTTTCCAGCCATATCCTGCCCTCAGTCTTTACCCCTAGTTGCAGGCTCACACTATTCTGGCTTAGGTTCCTGGACCATTGCCTTAATACTAGGCCCCCAGTCCTCTGCCCTTCTAGGTTCACAGTCCCCTGCACTAGTAGCCCCTAAGTTTGCTACTGCTTTTCCAGGCGCTTGGTATTCTACCCAACTAGGCCCCATGTTTGCTCCTCCATCAGGTCTGCAGTTTTCCTGCCCTTCATGGATCACAGACCCCCATACCTTACTTGGTATGCAGCATCCTAGCCCACCAGACTTAGAGCCCCGTGCCCTGCTAGGCCCTAAGTTAGCTGCCCCGCTTGCAGGTCTGCTGCCGTGCTCAGATCACAGACCCCTGCCTTAGTTGGAAGGCAGTTGTCTAGCCTACCAGGTTTAGAGTGTCCTGCCCTGCTAGGCCTAAAGTTCACTGCACAATACACTATAGTAACGGGCCTCAGCTGAACTGACGTCACTGCTTTAGAGTGTAATAGTTACCCGTCTATCCTCACTCGGGCAGTCCATTTTGTGGTAGCCTATTGTACCAGCCCATTACAGAGTACTGTAGCTATTACAGAGTACCCCCCCTAAATATTTGTATTTTATGTATTTTTGGGGGGTTGGGGCAGATAGTATTTAATGGTAAAATGTGTAGAATTGCAGGAAATTATCTTTAAAACAGCAAAATTAGCTTAAAACTGTCAAATGGGGGCCCCGGAGGTCGGTACCCCGGAGCCCCAAATGCATAGTCCAGCCCTGAGTATGCTAGGCCTTTCCAGCCTGGTCTAATAGACTAGATGTAACATAGTAAACTTAAATCCAGGACAACCATATTAGTTTGACATGTTACATTTTGGCATGGTTACATAACACAGAAGGTTACTTAAGGGAAAAACTAAAGGAGGGTGTTCAAATTTCATCACGGACAACTTTAGCATTTTAGCTAATTAGCAATTTTTCAACTACTTATTTTTAGGAACCTTGCATCTACTTAGCATGTTAGTTCACCCTTCCGCTAACCCTAACCCCTAACCTTTACCTTTTTAGCTAACCCTTCCCCTAATCTTAACCTTTTAACATAACTCCTAACCTTAACCTTAACCCTAACATTAACCCTAACCCTAACCCAGCTAACGTTAGTGTTAGCCACCTAGCCACCTAGCTAACGTTAGCACAACGAATTAGAATTCGTAACATATTATACTTTTCGCAAATTCGTAACATATTGTATGTTGTGCGATTTCGCAACATACCCTATATTACAAAAGTATGTGGACACCTCTTCAAAATAGTGGATTCGGCTAATTCAGCCACACCCGTTGCTGACAGGTGTATAAAATCGAACACACAGTGATACAATCTCCATAGACAAACATTGGCAGTAGAATGGCCTTACTGAAGAGCTCAGTGACTTTCAACGTGGCACCGTCATTGGATGCCACCTTTCCAACAAGTCAGTTGGAAAGTCTTCCCTGCTTGAGCTGCCCCGGTCAACTGTCAACTGTCAACTGTGGTCCTCTGTAGCTCAGCTGGTAGAGCACGGCGCTTGTAACGCCAGGGTAGTGGGTTCGATCCCTGCGACCACCCATACGTAAAAATGTATGCACACATGAATGTAAGTCGCTTTGGATAAAAGCGTCTGCTAAATGGCATATTATTATATTATTATAACTGTAAGTGCTGTTATTGTGAAGTGGAAACTTCTAGAAGCAACAACAGCTCAGCCGGTGAAGTGGTAGGCCACACAAGCTGCAGAACGGGACCGCCGAGTGCTGAGGCGTGTTTCATACGCGTAAAAATCTATCTGTCCTCAGTTGCAACACTAACTACCGAGTTCCAAACTGCCTCTGGAAGCAACGTCAGCACAAGAACTGTTCATCCGGAGCATCATGAAATGGGTTTCCATGGCCGAGCAGCCGTACACAAGCCTAAGATTACCATGCACAATGCCAAGTGTCAGCTGGAGTGGTGTAAAGCTCTCCACCATTGGACTCTGGAGCGGTGGAAACACATTCTCTGGAGTGATGAATCACGCTTCACCATCTGGCAGTCCGACGGACGAATCTGGGTTGGGCGGATGCCAACTGTAAAGTTTGGTGGAGGAGGAATAATGGTTTGGGGCTGTTTTTCATGGTTTATGCTAGGCCCCTTAGTTCCAGTGAAGGGAAATCTTAATGCTACATCATACAATGACATTCTGGATGATTCTGTGCTGTTTCAGCATGACAATGCCGCCGTGCATAAAGCGAGGTCCATAAAGAAATGGTTTGTCGAGATCGATGTGGAAGAACTTGACTTCATCTAACACCTTTGGGATGAATTGGAACGCCAACTGCAAGCCAGGCCTAATCGCCCAACATCAGTGCCTGTCCTCACTAATGCTCTTGTGACTGAATGGGAGCAAGTCCCCACAGCAATGTTCCAACATCTAGTGGAAATCCTTCCCAGAAGAGTGGAGGCTGTTATAGCAGTAAAGAGGGGACAAACTCCATATTATTGCCCATGATTTTGGAATGAGATTTTCGACGAGCAGGTGTCCACATACAATTGGTCATGTAGTGTATCATACAAATTGTGATTCGGAACATATCTTACGAAATGGATGATGGACATCCACAAATTAATACATACCATATGAAACAGATCATATCATTCTAAATTGTGAGTCTGGGCTTTATGTACCAAATAATACGAAATGCTCTGAGACCAGGTTGTCCTGTCGCACTGGGCACTAGACTACATTTTCGGGAAACGTTTTAAATGTACACATGTGTATTGTACAGTAACAAACACTTTGAGATAGTAGCTTGCTTTCAAATGGCCAATAAAAAGAAAGAAACCTTTGAGCGACGCGGCATAGAGGAGAGGAGGCGTCAGTGACTGTGTGATATATATGCAGAGTAGTTTCAGGAACTAGGAGGAGAGAGAGAGAGAGAGAGAGAGAGAGAGAGAGAGAGAGAGAGAGAGAGAGGAGAGAGAGAGGAGAGAGAGAGAGAGAGAGGAGAGAGAGAGGCGTATGGTATTAGTAATCACCAAGCAGAAAACCCCACAGTCCAACTGACAGCGGTGGCAAACTGCAGCTCAGACGAGGAAACGAGAGGCGACGAGAGTAGCAGAAGGAAGAGAAGCTCGATTTCTCCTATGTCAACTGTCAATGTAAAGAGAATAAACTGGATTCAATGAATTTTTTCTCCTGAATTTGTAGGAAGATTTTTGTTTAACGCACGGATATCGTATTCATTTTTTATAGATAATCTGAACATACACACTCGACCGGCTCACAGGCAGCGTGCGTGGGTAACATCTACCATACGATGGATGGTATTCTGTGTCACCGTTGATCGGTGTGATTAACTCGAGTCACCGGCTGACAGTTGAGTCACTGGGTTGTTTCAGGGGGACGTTATCTCTCGAAACGTAACGTTGGTAGGCTAATCAACTAGTCATCGCACTGAACGGGCTTTCCTGTCATCATTGTGAGACGTGAGACATTGTGAGACGTTCGCCTATTGTACGTATATTTTAACATTAACATTATTACGTTACACTATACTTGGAATTGGTCATAATAATGTAGCCTACTGTATGAAAAAATAATATGGTGAAAATATCCAACTGTATGCTATTCATCTAGGAGACTCCCATGATAAGCCGTATCAAAACAGGATGAAACTATTAGGAACTGTAAATAGTAGCCTATGAACCCAATAATATAAACCCAATATCAAAAGAGAGTAGGCTACAGTTGTTTCATTTTCATTAATTTGTAAGGTTGCATTTTCCACCGAAGCGATAAGTATATGAATTATGATTTATACACCATAAAAGCAAATGCTCAACAATTATGCTACAACCGCATTATATCGGAAAAGGAAAAGGCTCTAGAAATGTAGGGTACTGTGTGGAGAGTGGTTCCGATGATTAATTGCCGCTTGTTGCTCTGACTGTTGCGCTAAAGAGAAACTAGTTTGTATTCCTGTAGCCATAGAAGTAATGTATATCATATAATGTCAAGATGAAGTTATATCATATATGTAGCCCACTGTATGGTTTTTGTTTTCAAATTACATATTACATTTATAATATCCCAACGTTTATTTTCACTCTTAACAGGTGGCAGATTTCATATTGGAATATTCTGGAAAAAAAAGTCTTAGTCTTCACAGCTGATGTCAAGGTGGAACACTTCAACCTCTGTATTGATAATCAGATTATGAAGATTCTGTCTCCCTGTGTCAATGACGGGTAAAATGGAAACCCCTTTCTACCACGATGAGGCCCCAGGTGTCCCACACAGCTTCGGACAACACCATGCAGATTACGAACGCTACCAGGGACACAAGATGATGAGTAAGAAGGTGGCACATAACTTCTCAGGCGGTTCCCACGGCAGCTCTGGCCTGAAACTGTCCCAAGGTCAGCCGGGGAGCAACTGCAATATCAATCCTAATAATCTGGGAGGGATTAACAGCAACACGAACAGCTCGTTAATGCCCGGCGGTTTGTCAGATATGAACCTTCTGAAGCTGGCCTCCCCTGACCTCGAGCACCTCATCATCCAGTCCAACCAGGGCCTGGTGACGACGTCTCCTGTGCCCAACCACAACGGAGGTAACCCCTTCATGTACCGGAACAACGCGACTAACGAACAGGAGGGTTTTGCCGATGGGTTCGTCAAAGCCCTGGCGGATCTCCATAAACAGAACCAGCTGGTTGGAGCCCCCATGTCCCCCTCCTCCTCTGTACAAGGTCCGTACCAGAGGAACATCATGTCTGCAGGAGACCTTCCCATCTATACCAACCTCAGCAGCTACAACCCTAACCACCCCAACCACATCTCATCATCCTACCCAGGCGGCCAGATGCCCGGCAGCTACCCAGGCCCGGGGCACCACGGACCCGGAGGCCCGGGGTCCCACCATCCCCACAACAGGGGCCTGGACGCCCCTCAGACTGTCCCAGAGGTACGTAACCCTTCCGGGGACCCCACCTCCTCCCCTCCCTCCCTCTCTCCCATCGACCTGGAGACCCAGGAGAGGATCAAGGCAGAGAGGAAGAAGTTGCGTAACCGGATCGCGGCGTCCAAGTGTCGCAAGAGGAAGCTGGAGCGGATCTCCAGGCTGGAGGAGAAGGTGAAGGTCCTGAAGACCCAGAACTGTGACCTGACCTCCACCGCCTCGGTCCTGAGGGAACAGGTGGCCCAGCTCAAACAGAAAGTCATGAATCACGTCACCAACGGCTGCCAGATAGCGGTCAGCTCAGCGGCCCTGCAGTCCAAGAGCACCGGGGAGAGGGAGAGCACCAGCTGCTGATCAACGGGGATGAGGAGGGTGTTTTTCTGTTGTTCTGAGTCAGTCCTCTCTAAAGGAAGTAGTACCTCTACAAGGTAAATGATGGGTGTTGTGAGGGTAAATAAAGTATGCTAACTACGTGATGGGGTGGCTGGAGAAGGGAGAATCCCACCTCTATATGCTAACTACGTGATGGGGTGGCTGGAGAAGGGAGAATCCCAGCTCTCTAACCTCAACAGACAGACAAATTTACCAGAGTTGCAGGAGCAACACAACAAGAGAAGTACACGGGACATCTCTGCCTTTCGACTTTTATAGAAAGCCCTGTGAGTGACCAAGGTATCTCTGCTCAATAGGAGCACATTAAACCACCTGACTGAAGGCTGTGCTCTACAACACTGGACCGTGTACATAACCAGGTAAACCATGGTTAGAGTGAGGAGCGGAGGACATTGTGCCTCTAGTATATCGTTCAGTAGGTCCAGGGTGCTTATGGTAAACAGGAATGCTAATAACTGAGAGGGTATGAAACATTCAAGGTTCCTGTAGGGCATAGGTACATGTCACCTCAGAACGGGAATTCCTACATTCTAAAAGGTCATCTCTCTCTTATGATTTCAGAATAAATTCCAAAGGCTGTTCTACAGTAATTTCTTACTGTCATTACCATAGTATTTTTTGCCAGCTAAACATTTGAGTCAGATCAGAAGTATACTTTTTACTGAGTTTGACTTTTAAAACAATTTCAAAATGACAAATGATGGAGAACCTTGTGTGTTACTCCAAGGCCCTGCATATTACTCACAGGAAAACTGTATTTTGAAGTAATGCAAAATTAAGATTTGGCTTTTTCACACAATAAAGCAATTGGTCAGAGTATCACAATGTTGATCAAATCCATTGGATGTCATGTGATGTAGATCATTTATTTGTTTGAGAATTAAAGGAAGTTAGCTGTAAAACTGCAACATTTTCTCTCAGCCTCATGGCAAAATGTGTAGGGGGGGGGGGGGGGGGGGGGGCAACTTGCAGTACTCCACTGATGGAGTAATATATTGTTCAATGTGGTAACATATATATTATATACATTGTGTATCAGCGCTGTGTTAACCTGAACTGCACTGTGTCAGAAATACATTTTCAGAGACATTTTAGATGAACTTGTTGTGTTACAGACAGACACACGGATAGACAACAGAAAGGAGAGAGGCGTGTTGAGAAAAGCAGCTGAAAGGAACAAGGGCTTTTGATCAAAACTAGATGATGACTTTTATTTCTTATTTTATAACATTTCTGGAGCGATTTATTTATGCAAAATGTATCTCTGATATTTATGTTTTCTGTGGACAGGATGGATTTAAGTCCTCGTTTATATTGTGAGGAATATATTATTATTATTATTACGACAATATATTGCACATAAATCAAAACATTCAATCTTGACTGATATTTATCTGTGGTCTCAACATGCACAGTGTAGAAATGTCTTTGGAAACGATTTCATACTTTAGTTTTTTTCTCTTTTTTTTTATGTTATTCCTACAGTGCAAATGTGATTGTCGATATATAGTATGTAAATCATATCAGAAGAACTTTAATTTGCTTACTATGTCAAAACAAAACAAACCTTTACTGCAGTGACCGAACAGAAAGAATAACTGGCTTTCTTGATGCCTACACATTTTTTGAAAGATTCTTGTAAGTTCTATTACATATTTGGTGCACTGAATATACTTTCATATAGTTCTATACATACACATGTATAGTTAATGATAATTATGTATGTCTTTGGTTAATTCACATTAATCTAGAGAGAAATAAATAAAATAAAAAAATCTGTCAAATAATGTTTGGGATCGTCAAGGAAAATATGTATTTTTTAAACTTGAATAAGGCTTTTGAAGTCACTAATAATTATATTTTTGTACAAAAATGTATTCAACGTTCTTAAAGTTCAAGATTGAGTGAAAATGATGAGTACAACCTTCTGACATGTTGGTGTAATTCTTCTAGCTCCATAATATACATTATTTATTGAGGTGGATTTTGATGGGGGTGGGGGGTGGGGGGGGTTAATATTATTTTGTATGTACTGAAGTAGTTGTGTGTATTTAGGAACACTACTCTTTGTTGTGTAAAGTCGTTTGTGTCGATATCAGTACAATAGTATTAATATGTTTTTATGGTCACATATTTATTTTTCAGTGTAAGTAAGATAAAAGGTTATTGATGGGACCACGGAGAGTGTGTCTAAATTAAATCAGAGATGTGTGTGGGTCTTTCATTCCTGAAAAGAAACTGCTCCTCTTTTGGGAAGAAGGTTTTTACCGTGTTTCTGAGACTGTATTCATTTCAGTAACTGAAGCCAGTCTGAGAGCAATGATGTTTTTATACATGTGAGTGAAGGAATGTCAAGCAGTAGAATCTACAAACACTGTCGTCTGTGATTTGATGCTGTATTGGGTTGAGATTTTCCAGTATCCCTGTGATTTGTTAGGCTAAAGCCGTGCTAGCATTTTCAAGGCGCTATTACAGGTATTTGGAGTGCAAAGATAAATGGCAGAGAGATGAGCTGATGTTCATTGTAAGCATCTGACCCCTCGTGATCAAGCCAAAGATAAGAGTTTATCAGCTCATAAGAAGGGGTTAGAGACAGTATACCATGGTTGACTCTACGGTGACATTGGCCCTGTTTATACCAGGTTCTTCATTCTCATATTTTACGTCCCCCACTATTCCGCCCTCTAAAGTCATTGACAGGTGGCACAATTGACTGATTACAGCAATATGTGTCTTACAATAAATACATAATTTTTTTTTTTTTAAAGGACAGATGTGAAATAATTTGCATAAAGGAAGGGACCAGGAAATGTGGTCACAATGCGGACACAGTGGACAGATAACACAGTGGGGACAGATAACACAGTGGACAGATAACACAGTGGACAGATAACACAGTGGACAGATAACACAGTGGGGACAGATAACACAGTGGACAGATAACACAGTGGACAGATAACACAGTGGACAGATAACACAGTGGACAGATAACACAGTGGACAGATAACACAGTGGACAGATAACACAGTGGACAGATAACACAGTGGACAGATAACACAGTGGACAGATAACACAGTGGACAGATAACACAGTGGGGACAGATAACACAGTGGACAGATAACAGACAGTTTAATACCATGTGTAGACATTTCTGTAAATGTGGGGACAATCAGAATGTAGACAAAGATCAGGACAAAGGACGCATGTTAGCACCAGGTATAAACGGGGCTCTTCTGAAAGTTGACAACATATTGAAGATACAGTGCGTTGTCATGATTTATCACTACGATGACGAACAATCAATGTGATCGACGATAAATATTACCTCGTAATGGATCAATAACAATAATGGTTTTGAAAGGGAAGTCAAGCTGCAGTGTATGACATCATATCCTGTGAAGCATTGACACAACTGTTGGTGTGTACCCAATGGAGTGTGCGTCCCAAATTGCACCCTTTTCTTGTCTGACAACTCACCCTGAATTTAATTCCTCTGCTCCATCATCGTTACATACCTTTAGTCTGAAACTGACATCCTAGCAGTCGTTTGTGTGAAATCAAAATGAGGGGCATTATACAAAACAAATAAATCAGCGATTGGATCGTCTAGTCAGTCAGAGTAGCAAAGTTGATAACGTTATCACGTATGCCGGATCTGGCCCGACCCGTCGGTTTCTGTGACAAATCAGAACGATCAGAATGTGTTCGCATTCTAGAAATCGTCGGGGAGGGAGGCAAATCTAAACTCATCGTGGAGAAGAAATGTTAGTTGGCCGGAGCGATATGAATGGGTAGCCAGGCAACCCTAATCCCTTTAGTGCACTACTTTTGACTAGGGTCCAAAAGGGCTCTGGTCAAAAGTAGTGCACTATAGAGGGAATAGGGTGCCATTTGGAATACACTACAGTCCCTGTCTGAATAGTTTTGACTATGAGAGGGACACATGACTATTGACTACAGGGCGACTTGCCTTGGTTTAACTGTTGAACTGTTGTTTTGACTGATTTGTTTTGGTTTACAATATGCTGTCTTCTTGAAAAAAGTGTTAATTGTTTCCTTTAATGTTTATGAATAAATCAACAATAAAAAAGAGTAGGTTTCTGATACCGGAACATGTTTTACTTGTTGTGTCATCATCAAGGGACCGAGATTTTATTTGATTTGATTTGATTTGATTTGATACAGTATATTATACACAACACTGTCAACTGTCAAAATACATGAGCAAAGTATAAAGTCAATCAAACTTAGTAAAACAAACAGCCTGCTCTCTTTTCAATTAAAATTACGTAGCAATTTCCCAACATGATAGAACTGAAAGAGAAATCGACAGGAGTCTGTAGGAAGATGGAAACAACAGTGAGATTGACGCGTGGTCTTCACTATTAACCTGATGTGAAACCACATGGCGGTGGGAGATCATAATGGGTTTTACGGTGTTATGCAACTAAAGCCTTCTGTTACTGGGGACTACATGTGGGAAGTGTTCTGACCACGAGAAGTGAAGTGAAGTTAGCTGTTCTTTGAAATATCTCTAAACTTCCTTACTGAGAACTTCAACATACACGATATACACTCTTGGGAATAAAAAAAAAAAAGGTGCTATCTAGAACCTATAAGAGTTATTCGGCTGTCCCCATAAGAGAACCATTTCAAGAACCCCTTTTGGTTCCAGATAGAACCATTTTGGTTCAAGGTAAGAACCCTTTTAGGTTCCATATAGAACCCTTTCCGCAGAAGGTTCTACATGGAACCCAAATGAGTTTTACCTGGTTCCAAAAAGGGTTCTCCTATATGGACAGCCGCAGAACCATTTTGGAACCCTTTTTTTCTAAGAGTGTACTTTATCTTGTCTGCATCTCAAATGGCACTCAATTCCCTTTATGGTGCACTACTTTTGATCAGGGCTCATATGGCTATACAGGGAATAGGGTACCATTTGGGACACACTTGGTTCAAAG